AGGGCAAATATGTAAATAAATATATTGTGTTTGCACATATTAATAAGATTTTTTAAAAAAAAATAGGCGGCCGACATCAATGAGCTGAGAATAAATATGTAAACGAACATTTTTAGGGGTATAAATGTCCTCACACTATTCATAAGAGTTTGTTTTGAACTTTCAAATGTTATTATTATTATTGCTATTGTTATTATTGTTATTATTATTAAGAATACACTTTATAGATACTTTATTGTATATATTTATGATCTGATGTATTATCAAGTGTATTTAATTTAATCATAACAGTTATTTTGGAACAAATGAAATATATTACATCTGCTTAAAATTGATAATTTTTACAGAAATAGTCTAACTTTAAAGTTAGTACTCTGTACTTCTGTAAAAAAAAAAAAGTTAGTAATATTCTAAATTTATTGATAATTTAATGTTCCTCCATCATCATATTCTCTTCTCAAAGAGAATGTATGTATAGGCGTATAGCTCTTATCATAGTCTTAACTTTGAGAATTACTCTTCCATCATCAGATTAGGATAAGGTCTTACAAGAAGACGTTCCTAATCTACAATATGTATCTATTTGTTAAAAAAAAAAAAAAAAAAAAAAAAAAAAAAAAGAAAAATCGAGTAAATACTCTGTAGTTCGTAACTAGGTAATCCTCGAATCATGCATACCTACGGAGTACGCTACTCGATTTTCCAAATTGATACGAGTATATATGAAAAAAGATATTGGACATTTATACTATGCATTATATTAATGTAATTATTATCCAATGACACTCATGCTTATAATTCCAATGCAAGCATTTCTTTAATTTAGCTCCCTTAAAAATAACTTAAATTACTGTATGTGTTTAGGAGGAAATCTGATTTTATGGATCTTGTTGGAAAATGTTTTTTTATAAATCCATTTTTCACAATTTCATTTAAAATTCATAGTCAAAGACATAAAAAGTAATAAGAAAATACAATACTTTGTAAGACAGAGGGAATAATACAGAGGATCTTACTAACGAGCGCCTTTGAGACGTCTGATAACAATCTAGTATACTTCCTAGAATGCTATTAATTTAAGAATGTATGTCAAATTACACGTCGGTCTGTGTAATTAGTATTTATTTCAAGTTAATATTTATACTTTTAGTCTTCTTATCATCTAACGTTTCGGGACATTAGTTAGCTTTTGCCAAATATAGATTATACTCTATAATATATAGAAATTATAAAAGATGGTTAGAGGTAATTAGTGTTGAAATTAATGAATATGATTCTCTGTAATATTTACATTGAATAATTTAAATTTTCACGCATTATTAATGAAAAAATTTAAATAGCCAACACTTGATCATAAAATTGGAAAGTCAATAAAGATAATCAATTCATACACGACTTTTTTTTTTGAAAGAACAATTCATACATGACTTAAATAAATTAGATAGAGTATATAAATATAAAAAATTGATCTTTCAAAGATGTTTTATTCAAGAGACAACTAACTTGGCCAACTAATCTTTTTCCCATGCAATTTGCACTCCACCTAGTTCACTCAATATGCGACCAAACAAAAAGAAACAAAAAATTAGCATACTAATACTAATCACACGATTTTTTGCTCCTAATTTCTTTCCCTTGGGATTGGGAACTTTCGTTATTCAATTCTCACCAATTTTTCTTTCTTACCCTATTGACTATTTACTTTGACTTAAATATTATCTAAAAATACTTGAAAAGATAGACTTTGACATGCCATAATGTAAAAGAGATTTGATCATATATCTCGGATAGCTGTTTAAAGATTTTGTAACCTATTAAGTTAGCTGATATCTACTCAAACATAGAAAATACCATTTCGAATAAGCCAAATGACTAATCCTCAACCTGAAAAGATTAAAAGAAAATCTTAATGATTAGAAATAAGTATCACTCTTGTCAAAAGAATAAAAATAAAATAACGAGTAAAATCACTAATCATGAAATTAACGAGTAAAATCAACCCACATTTGGGACAATAATAGGACCCAATTACTTTTTTCATGTCATAGCATTAGGAAGTTGGGACCCTTAATTAAGCAAAGTGCTAAGAGAACATGAAAAGATACTCCTAAAGACTAAAGAGAAATAAAGCTCAAAGAAAAAAAATCTCCAATTGTCTTCTTCCATTTAAGGGACATTTAGATGAAACGAGAAATTTTGATAATTGATTAAGATTCCTCGCTACAACTTTTACTGTTCCAATCACTTTTATTTCCATCCTCTTCACTGCAAATATCGTTTCAATATCGGACTCGTGTATCGCGTTGGACACGAGTACGATAAAATGAAGAGTGCGAATAACACAGTTTATGGCGTAATCCATAACAAGTTACAAACCTTAGCTCGAATTGTGCCTTCTTTTAGGCAACTAGGGGTAAATTAATTTAATTAAAAACACAAAATCTTACATAATTTGATTTCATTATATATAAATTCTATCTATATACTATACTAATTGAAAAAAAATACACACAAATATGTACTGTACTCCATTAGCAAGAGAAAATGATAGAAAAAGGGGTAATTTCTTAAGCTAAAAACCTAACCCCTAAAAAAATTAAAAATGCTAAGGTAAGAAAGTATTATTATGAATGTGATTATGATTATGATTATTATCTGTCGAAGTCGGAGCTCCGGCAGCCGAATTCTCCGGCAAACCGCCGCCACATTTCTGACATCTAACGGCGAGGATCTGACGGCAGGAAGGACACGAAGAGTGAGATCCAAGCCACGTGTCAATACACGATACGTGGAAGCCATGACCGCACTGAGGAAGAATCCGGATCTCTTCGCCGGCGGAGAAGTCGACAAGCAAATAGCGCAGTCATCGGAGAGTTTACCGGCGTGTTGTTCGGCGGAGTAAGCTACCTTCGGCAACGCCTTGAGAACCTTCTTTTTCAAGCCTTTGTTCGCCGGAGCTGAAGCCGCACCACCGGCGAAGCGGCGGAGCCAAGCGCAGCGTGCGACGGCGACAAGGCCGAGGACGCAGATAAGCGCGCAGAGGAGAGCGGCGAGGATGACGACGAAGTCGGAGTCGACGGTTTCGGTGTCGTCGGAGGACGGCGGCGAAGAGGTGGTGGTGTTGTTTATGCTTCGGAGGAATCTCATTTTGAGGGTGGTTATTGAGAGAGGTTTTGGAGGAGAGAGAAAATTTGGATGAGAGAAAGAGGTCAGAGGAAGGAAAGAATATGGGAGCGAGATTGGGAGATGTGTATATATAAATATTAAAAAAAATAAAAAATTGTTATGGTGTGTAATGTGAATGCAACATTTATCTACTGTACGTCTGTAGTCTGTATTTCTGTAAACCCCTTTGTAATTCTACTCTTTAGTCTATACAGGATTATACTCCGTCCAGTTTATCCAATTGTGTGTGTATGGATAATGTGCTGCAAATCGTGTAGCGGACTTGCAGATTGGATGGAGTGTTGCCCATTTAGTTACGGTTAAATTATAGATTGTTACTTGTAATACCTATTTCTCATCCTTGTTTATGATTCAGCGTTCATGTTTCGTGTTTCACTAGTGCGGATATAAGTTTTTTTTGCGTTGTTAAATAAATAAATAAATAAAATATGGTTTAAAGCAGGTCATGTACGAAGTATTAGTGTACTACATACACTTGTATTGTTTAAGGATGTTCAAGTGTAATTAGCATAAATTTGTAGTATAGTACTTCGTATCATATACCAATCTTGATTTATTTATTTATACTACGTATTTATTTTACTAAGATACATATAAATTTTTTTAACGAAGTATTAGCAATATATTGTTAAGTTACTCTTAGTATCTTGATATGTATTTTCAAACTATTTATTTTTGTGCAAAAATATTTGTATTATTAAGAGATGGAGTTATTGTATATAAATGTTTAAAAATTGTGCGTTGACACAGTTGATCTTATTTTTTAGTAAGTATGTATTAGTGTTTTGTGACTTAACCAGCTAAAACAAGTGGCATTGTTGTGGGTAAGTTAATCGAATAATCACTAAGCTAAAATAAAATAGTTGATAATGATGAGATTATAGATCTTAATTGTCCGATCAAAGAGGAGATTTGATTTTAAATTAAAAATAGAAAAGTCAAGAGCTCTAATCATTTTAGGGGTGAAAGGGATAAGATTCTGCAATGTACTAATATCTTTTTCACTAAAGAAGTAAAAGTGTTTCCCTTTTTATTTCTTTTTAAGTTTTTTGATTTGCCTTATTTGGGTAATGAGGATTAGGGGCGGCCTTAAGTTAGGGGGAAAGACAAATAATATCTGCAAATCTACTTGCAGCACACTGATTTTAATTCTTTATTTGTTTGGTTTCGTATGGAAGTGTATTGTCTTAGATATTAATTAGTCGTATGATGATATAATACGTGAAATGTACAATGGTATCAATAGCAGGAAGGGTGAAAGATCTAAAAATTAGACAATTGATGAATCAAAGAGAGATAACTAGCTAAATGAATATAGATTGATGGTTCAACGAAATAAATTAGTATAATGATCCAATTAGAGAAATGTACTGTTGTATCAAGAGGAAGGGTAAAAGATCATAAATATTAGATAACTTATGAGATGAATGAGAGAGAACTAATTAATGAATGAATATATATTATTGGTCTAATGAGAGAATTAGTATGATAATCTAAGTCGTGAAATGTACATTAGAAGGAAGGGTAAAACTTCATAAAAATTAGATAATCGGTTAAATTAAAGAATGAAATTAACTAAAAGAACATATAATAATGACGCTAACGCTATAAGTTTTGCTAATTTAACTTAATAATTCAATGATTTGGTAGCAAGATAACCCAATTATTAATACTAGACAAAATATAAGAGTACATTAATTAGAATTATTGCAACAATTATATTCCAAAAACAAAAAAAAAAGATTGACCTCATACAATTTTATAGTCGACTCCTTGATGATGTTAGAAGACTAAATTTAGTTTGTTTTTGATGTAACATGTATAACAACCACCTTTTCTTTGATGCTCGTAGCCATTATAAATATCACCAAATAGCTTATTAGGTTGGACCACATCACTCATATCTTTAACTCTTCTCATATTTAAAGAGTCCAATAGTATGAAACTTATAAGAAAAATATATTTTTTTGTTACTTCTACACTTCACTAATTATTTCGCTATTTCTTCACTCAACTTAAATACTTATAATAGAAAATATAGCAATTAAAGTAACTAAATTAGTGTTCTCTTTAATCTCACTACCCTCCCTTAATTTTTTATTTATGTTTTTTTTTTTTCTTAAATGTCAATTAATTTAATTTTGTCCATATAAGTTTCAATTAATAAGATTAAATAACTTTGTACAAATTATTGAAAGAATTGAGGTCTCAAAATTAATAAGATTACATAAAGAATTGATCCAATTTTTGCATCCCATATATAGGTATACTCGTAGGAGAATCATCAACTTGGATAAAGTGAAAACAAGGGTGTTATCTTTGAAACAAAAGACCCTTTTTTTTTTTTTTGAGTAGTGTTCCCTCCAACACTAAAAACGTCATTGTTGAGTCTCCTTATCCTACTCCATTAGCAATTTAACATATAGTCTCCCTCCCTCCTTCACGGATCTCCAACACTTTCACTTGATCTTTCGTTAAACTAAAGTTTGCCCTACCACACTATCCTCTAAGGCTTTACGGATAGGTTACATGAAAATGGATACGAAATAGAGACGGTAAAATGCCATTTCAAACTTAGGGGGACATGGATATGACAAAGTACAAATCACAAGAGTATCTTATGAAAAGTTTTTTTTTTTTTTAAAGAAAAAAAATCAATATAGAAAATCATCTCACTTACGAGTAATATTTTCAATCAGTATCAATCAAGAAACAAGATATTTTCTGTATATTTTGATAGAGAAAACAAAAAAAATCTTAATTTTATGATCCTCCGTAAATTGATGATACATCATGTGCATTGGCACAGATGCATTCTAATTATGTATAATAACAAAATAATTTTTCTTATTTTTAATCTATAACAATTAACATATGCTTAGATTTTTTACTTTAGTCTATAGAAAAAATACAAAACAATTCTACTTTAATAATAAAAAGTATATTATAAAGGGTCTTAATAGTGAATCTTTATGTTTTGTTAATCTTTATCTCCCAACTCCCGCTTCTCTCCTTTCGGCGCGGTTACCACTTACTACCAAGGATATTGCATCTTTCACGCAACTCAAGTATTGCACAAGAACTCTTCTTCACTCCTTTTTGCTTGACTACCTTGTCAAATGCCCAAAGCATGACTATTTTCTTATATTATTATTCTTAATTTTATTTATGCAGTTAAGCTAATGGACAACAAGATATATTTGTATATAGTAATCAGCTTGTTAATAGTAACACTCATAAAAATTAGAAATTATTCCCTCTGTTTTTTTTATAAGCTAGAGTTGAAAAATTCCACTATTCATAGGTCATCATTGACTTAATTTTTTTACCAATATATAATATATAAATATAATCATATTAATATGTTGTTGAATTTGTCATAATGTCTACTTTTATAAATTTTTTTTTTCATAATTTTTACTAACCTCTAATTAAAAATATTAATGGTCAAAGTTGTGTTTCGACAAATGTGTAAATCCAACTCTAGCTTATAAATTTTAGACCCACTTAACAAAATGTATCACATTGCACATATTATTACATTAATGGTGTGTCCTTAGCATACTTATACCCACTCATTGATTAGTATCTAACTATTACGTACTCTCTACACTCCTTACAGATTGTCCCATTTTCACTTTAGGACTAAGCTGTCTACATAGGTTGTCAAAGCATAAATTGAAGCACAGTTTAGATTTAAAAAAAAAAATTAGCAACACTTCGATAATATTAAGTAAAGTTTCCTTATCTCGGACAGTCAAACACAAACTACAATGAGGAAAAAAATAAGTTTAAAAAATTCGTCATTTTTATACAAATTACACCCAAGTGTATAATAGACATTGCACAATATTGTTTGTAAACGCAATTTTTTTTTGTTTTGCTAATTCTATTCCTAATTTACTTAAAGCTCACTTACAAGAGAATGAGAAGTTACATTACAATTTCCGTCCTACTTTATGCTCTAGCTTAAAAGTTGATTCAAAAGCATAAGAAAGACAAATGTCATGCTATTGATATAACCTACTTTATCGGGCATGTGAAGCCGCAAGAAAATGTTTTGAAAAGTTTGGTACGTTTGATATAATAAAAATTCATTTTCTTTTGCCATATCATTTCAGTACCTAATTAAAATAAGATCCAACGGCATGACACCTTTATCTATCCTATTATGGCTATTACGTTTCAAATCACCTCAAATTGACCACAACAAGCTTCACTCCTACTCCCATTGCCAAACCACCACCATCATCCCATGTGAAGCCTTTTGACCACTATCATTGTTCTCGAACAACCCTTCGCGTAACCTCATTAAAAAAAAGGGGTCAAATGGGATAATCTTAGTGGAATAGAGAAAGTGATTCCGAGTACATATAAGGTAAGGTCGATCAGTCTACGATGATAGGCGGATATGATGTTGGATTCCACTGACTAAGCAAACTACCAACAGCACTTTCCTTAGTCTAAGTAAGTTAAGATCTCGTTATAATGATCTAATAATAAACAGTGACAATCGTCAAAGGAATAACTGATAATGGGAATGAAAAAGGCATACGCAAACTTACAGACTCTTTTGACTCAAAAAAAAAAAAGTGGGTGGGATATTAATGACCTAGAGTAGGAAATTATATAGTACTTATAATAGACCTTATCATCAATCATGTTTTTATATAGAATCAATTAGAACATGATAACTGATAACCTCATCCGAAAAATCTGCAAAATCATCTAATCCAAAAAGTTTCTTTCTAAAGTACTCTCCTATTTAAATTGAAATTATACTATATACAAGCATGTTAGGAATATGAAAGATAACCTCAAGATTAGATTTTATTTTATTTTTTATCCTAACTTTGAGATGGATTTATCATCCCTTGGGTCCAATCCTCCATGTGGGTATCACTGCATCAATGTGCAATAAAGTAAAAGGGGGAATTGCCACTGTTACACCAAATAGTACCCTCAAGGCCTCACACTGCAAGGCTGTTTATGGTATACCTAGAGCTGCCAATCATTGATATGGAGTACGACACAACACGATACGAATTTGAAGATAGTGAACCCAAATCAATCCAAACATGACCTAATTAGGTAATTTTTGTCATGTTATGCAATTATCCTACTTTTTACCTAAAATTTGACACATTAGGTGAACACAAAACCAAACATGAACACGGCCCA